TCGGCTCCGAGCCCCGCCGGGGCTCTGCTTGTCGCGCCCCCGCAGCGCCGCGTCCCACCCGCGTGACAGAGCGGTATTCGCAGCCGGCGAAAGGCTTTTTGGATGTAAAAAGCCTCGCGAAGGACCAGTAGATTCTAACTGGAGCCATTGTCTGCCCCACGTGCAGGCCTTAGTAAGGCTTCGTTTTGCTCATATATTTGATCCCTCCCAGGCCGAAAGCGACAAGGTGAGGTAAACAAAGGAGTGAGGTGAAAACTTGAAGCCAGGTCATCAGTGTAACAGTTCACAACGTCCATTTTATTCTGTAGCGTATAAACGGCTTTTTTTCTAAAAGGGCTTAATGACCATTTACACGTGAGGGAGGAAAATAAACTGGAGAGTTTACTAGCAGTGACCTTCTGCTGCTGATGGGTGGTGCTGGCATTAACAACTCTGTGTTACCCATCATGCATGTGGTAGCCTCATTTGTGCAGGGATAGGCAATTGCAGTGTTGAAATGGTGTTAGAGGTGGAAGGCACGCAGTGAGAAGATAGTGCTATATACCAAACACAGTCAAGTAAGCTTTTCTTTTTTAATCTTACTGAATTCTCTTAAAGGTATCAGTGCCCTGTAAGAATGAAAAAATGACAACAGTTTTCCACTTGGATAACCTGTGCTGCTCAATATTAATTGCTATAGATTAGACTTACCATGCAATGTAAAGTTTCCAACTGCCTGCACCAACAAGTTCATCTGCATCTTATGATCACTGAGAGGTCATATGGATGCTCTATTAATCTGATATTTTAACCCATATAACAATATAAGAACCTGAAAAAACTGATAGCTTGGTCAAAAGGGGCTGAGAGAACATGCTTTAACACTGATTAGTTAAAATAACTTTTTTTGGAAGTGTAATACATTGCTAGTGTAGACCTTGATTTTGGATCTGTTTAATTAAATAAATAATGATAGCTTCCTTTTGTGCCATGTGTAGCCTTAAGAATTGCTCTAAACTGGAATGCTGTTATCAGCAAAGACGTGAGTGCTCTCTCTTTTTAAAGATCACCATGCAGACTCTTCTTTTCCTGATTAGATAATGTTATGTAGGTTTTTAGCTTAGTGTTCTGTGATTTATTTTTTTTCTTCACTTGGTTAGATTTCTTAAAATGATGGGGAAATAAATTTTTATTACAGAATATGTAGGTTTGTGAAAGATTGAAGGGTAATTTGTCCTGTAAGACCTGTGACTTTCGTTCTTTATAGTTACTGTGGTTTAATATATTTGGCTTGTAATATCCATATTCTGTTTTTGTTTCACTAATTTCTTATCATGCTTTATTTCTTGACTGCATGAAGAAGTATGGAGTATTTCAAGATAATCAGTAAAGAGAAGTAACTGCAGATAAAAAAAAAATCTTAGTTGTTCAATTACAAAATAGTTGTGATCTCTGTGAAGCTGTGTATATAAATCTTTTTTAGCACTGTAGTCCTACAGAGCTGATTTAGATGGTTCATTCTACAGAAAGAGAGCTTCTGGAAAATCCTAGGAACGAGCATTTAATTTGTTTTCACTTGCATCACTGTAGCTTTTTAAATATGAATAATTTTTAAAATAAATACTCTATACCACGTAATTTATTAATATCTGTTACCCAATTATTACTGGGAGGTGTTGAGGTGGAGTGGGGAAGAGCTCAGGTCTTTTTCTACAGTTTGAGGTAAAGTTTTGGTAGTAATGTCTCTGCCTGTCCTCTTACTTGCTTTGATCCTCTAAGTTATAAGCAGAACAGATGAAGTACAGCTGTGAAAAAATGATGGCCCTGAAAGTCAAAGTACTGGTCAAAAAAAAAACCAAACTGAAAAATCTCTTCTGGAGATTTGGCTGTACTTATTCCCCCTACTGTTCCAGAACAATGAAGTTAAATACAGGCAATCATCTGTACATTTCTGCACATGTAAATCATATACTTAGTTCAAAGTAAGCCAAAATCTTCTGGATTGATAGGTAAGGAAGAATAAAATTAATATTGTGGGTATTGATAAGGTTGAATGAGAAGCTGAGGCAGCCATTTTGCTAATATATTGCTGTGATTGAGGTGAAAGACAAATGAATTGAAACTTAAATTGTCATATTGAAGGTTTTGAGTGGGTTCTATAGAGCAAGTCATTTTAATGAAGGTCCAGTATGATCCTTCTGTAAGTTAGTGTAAATAAGCAGGAAAACTAGTTCTAGCTATTATGTGCTATAATTGTGTTTAAACCCAAATGTAGTCAATTTATGCATATAGCAATATCAGATTTTTTTATGTATTATTTCAATGTATGAGTGATTTCAAAAGGCTGTTTTTCTCACTTTGACTTGTTAGTGTCTTCAGGAAGAAAGAAAATCCTATTTGAGTTTCTCAGAAAAGAACTGATTAATCAGAACTGAAACTAATTTTGTACCTCTTTCAACTAGGCATACAGAAAGCTGGCCAAGGAATACCATCCTGATAAGAATCCAATCGCGGGGGACAAAGTAAGACTTTTTTTTTTTAATTAAAAGAAAACAAACAAACAAACAAAACCCCCACAAAACAAACTCCTGAAGGTTCGCTGTTAAAGTAGCATCTAAAGGACCAATTACAGGTGTTGGGGGGCTTGCTGTTACAAGTTGTTCAAAAATAATGTGGAGGGAACCCTGTCTTGTCTACTTCTTCCTAGTCTCAAAAATCTACTGGTGTACCTTTTGAAAAAATGCAGCAGTTTGCTGAGTGGAATTGGTTGAGAAAGTAATGCTGAGGGAAAAACTGCCTCTCTTCATCTGCAAAAATGGTGTCAGCTGGCCTTGGCCTTTAAATAGGTATTTGAGAAAGCTAAAAGACTTGGGTTTTGAAGTTTTTCCAACGTAGAAGAATGTATTTGTTAGAGGCTCTTGAAACTGCTGCAGCATAAAACAAATTACATATGTTGAATTAGGTTTGTTATGCTAATAGCAATTGAAAAATACCACTTGACTCAGCTGTTCTAATCGTTGCTTAGAGGTGAGCAGAGATGACTATGAAGAGATTAATTTGAGGACATTAATGTGCATTGTAGTAAGTTGCTTGATTGTTGGCGTATTTTAAGTGCATAACATACGTTTAAGTCTTTGTCATTAGTATGTAACTGGAGGGTTTTTTCTTGTCTACTGCAATACTCTCTACTAGGATTTTTTTCTTTTCATTTTTTTTATAAGAAAACTGTCTTGTGCTACGCACAGTAAGGAAAAAGTCTACGAAGTTTTGCAGTAAAATGCCATGTATTGTGATAAGAAGTAACACAGCTAAGCCCAAGTCTGACTTCTAGGTCTTGTATGATAGAATGAGGGTGGAAAGCTGTTCTGTACCTTCTTAAATTGGGTGTTCATTCTGGGCAAGAAAGACTAATAAAATGCTCATTTGGAAGTTCCAAATTATCATGCGCTGTTTTGACTCTGTTTTTCTAGTTCAAAGAAATAAGCTTTGCCTATGAAGTATTGTCAAATCCAGAGAAACGTGAGTTATATGATAGATATGGAGAACAGGGTCTTCGAGAAGGGAGCGGTGGAAGCAGTGGGATGGACGATATTTTCTCCCATATCTTTGGTGGTGGATTGTTCAATTTCATGGGAGGTCAGAGTAGAAGTCGTAATGGTAGAAGAAGAGGAGAAGATATGATGCATCCACTTAAGTGAGTATCTTGGTAACTGTGATTTGTACTTCCAAGCTTTCCTGATTAGTACTTGACTCTGCTAGTTTACATTCTTGATATGCTTCTGCGCTCTGCACCTGTTTTTCAAACCTGCATGTCCTGTGTAGCCCAGAAGGCAGTTGAGTAACTTTTCATGGTTAATCTTATAGACTACCTAATACTTTGCTTTATCCGGTTATTAGCCTGTATATATTTTGTTACCATTATTTTCCATTTGCTCCTTAATTAGAAAGTTCTAATCTGAAAAAGCACTCAGCAACCAAATATTACTCATTAGTGGATTCGTAGGGAAATCAAGGTACTATGGCTCTGGAAAGTCTTAAGTTGACTTGCATTCATAGCTTAATACTATCTGGATCTAAAGTTGACCTGCATAATCAGTTGAAAAACATGTGTGGTGGGTTGGTTTGGTGGTGTGTTGTTGATTTGTTTGGGGTTTTGGTGGTTTTTTTGGGTGCCTTTTTTGTTGGTTTGGTTTTGTTTACAGCCATGCTTGACTATCGCATCTAGTTATCTTTTGTAGATCTCTGCAATCGTTACTGGCTTTTTGCCTGCTGAGCAGGTTCTTTCTAAGTTCTTAAGCTGTATCTTTGCTGTGATTGGCAAACTGTGCTTAAAGTCTGTTTACTTCTACTTGCTTGCTTAGTTTAATAGCTAGTACTGCATACTCTATTATTAATTAGCTTTGATTTTGTTGTTATTTGTGAACAGTGATGCCAGGCAGCCTCTTCTCAATATGTTGAGTTGAAATTTTTCTCCACTAACAAACCCTTTTAGGAGAGACACTAAATGTGTTCATAAACTTCTATCAATATATGAAAGTTACTGGAGTTTGATAATATATTCAAGAGCTTCTAAAAAAAATCAAAACATGAGCAAATATAAAGAATTAAGTGTCCTTGGGGGGATACTAAACCTCCCCCTGCCCTCAACTATCTTGTGTGGAAAGCCCCATACAGTAGTAAGTATTCTGTTTGCCTTCTTATGAATCCATGCTGTAAGTATTGTCCAGCCTGTCTAGAGAGATTTGTTTCTCACCTGCCTGGTAGAATTAAAAATAAAATATTCAACTGTGACTATAATAAAACCTAAAATGATAGGTAGCTTATTTCCTATTGAGAAAGACAAGCAATCCTGTCTGGTTTCCTCTGATTAAATTAAGCTTTTCTCTGAAACTATGTTCAGGATTACATGTGCACATTCATATATATGGAATAGTTTTTAATGACTTTTTGGGAAAGCTAAAATGATGCTTAAAAACCTTATTTTAATAGCAGACTTAGTCTTTTTATGAAGATCTGGGTTTTTTTTAATTTGTCCTAGACAAGTATTTTAGTTACATGGAGAAAGTTAAGTTTTTAAATGATAACCCAGGAGAAATGCTTTATTTTGTAGAGTCTCATTAGAAGATCTTTATAATGGAAAGACAACTAAACTACAACTTAGCAAGAATGTCCTTTGTAGTGCATGTAATGGGTAAGTTTGGTGGCATTTTTGAGTACTCTGTTTTGTTGGCCTAGCACATAATGAAGCATCTCCTATGTCAGATCTTTATCAGTATTTAATTTACTGGAGCTTGCTCTCAGACTAGAAAATTGTTGAACTTGAATGATACTGTTGATGGAACTGGAACTATTCAAGGGCTTTGTTTGGGGGAAAGCGGTGAGGAGAGAGAACCAAATTATAATCAGCAGTGCATTTGGGCATGTTAATCTACTGATGTAGGTTTGTGTTTTGGTTTGGGGGTTTTTTTTGTCACGTGTTTCTGAAAACCTTACTTTTCATGCAACTGGTGCTTTCTATTCTAGGCAGGGAGGAAAGGCTGGAGCTGTTCAGAAATGCAATGCTTGCCGGGGTAGAGGTGTACGTATCATGATCAGACAGCTGGCTCTCAGCAGATGCAGTCTGTATGCTCTGACTGCAACGGAGAAGGTAAGCTAAGCTATTCTGTTACTAAATGCATTCAGTTGGATTCAACTTCCCGGTTAAATCTCAGGAGGAGCTTATCCAGGACATTTTTGCTCCTGTCTAGGCAGCTGATGTCGTTATGGAGAAACCGTTTTACTCTGATCAACAGCAAGACTAACAGTGTTTAGTATGCTGAACACTAGGGATTCATTGGTTTTAGAAGCACCTAGGTGCGAATGCTGCTTATTGCTAATACTTTTATGTTAAAGTTAAAACTAAGATTTTGTTGGTTTAGGAGCTTATTCTCTTTTTGCAGTCAGCTAATGTCCAAGGACAGTACTAGAAATAGCTACTGAAACTGTACAGCACATGTGCCCTATTATTTTGGTTACTCTGTCCAAAGACAATAGCTTACTTGAAAAATGAAGTAGAACAGAGAATTTAAGCTGGTTTAGATAATCATCCTTCAGTTTGCTGGAAAAAGTAACTGCCTTGCTATGGACAATGTTGAAAAATACTCAGTTTCAGAGTATGAAAGTGAAATAATCCCTCAGAAAATTTCAGATCCTTCCCATGGGAAAAACCTATGTATTGCTCTTGCATGAAGCTGATTTGGCCAGCTATCTTCTCCCCTTTATATTTTATGCAAGAGTATCTAGTTCTACCAGCTGGATTTACATAGTTCTTTGTGGTGGTGCTATATGGCAAAATGTGGCTGTCAATGAACAGAACCCAGTAATCCTTTTTTCACTGTTAACAGAAGTGGAACTAAGCTTCCTAAATTAATTAAAATAGTTTGAAATTTGTGTACTGACTTTTAGGGGAGGGGAGGTGCTTCAGTTCAATTTTTAGCTTCATTCTTTCTCTTGATCTGTCATCCTCCAGTGTAACTAGGAATGGAGAAGTAGGCTTTTTTCTTTTTCTTTTTTTTTTTATTTTTATTTTTTATTTTTTAAGAATCCTAAGTTGGATCGTAAGGATTCTGGAGTCAAATTTAGACTTAAGGCACACTAGAAGCTATAGAAGTCTTGTATTGCCTTTCTCTGTAGCACTCTCACTTCTCAAAATCCTTGTTAAGGCAGAGTGGAAGGTTACATGTATCTTTGATTTCCCCTCCACGCTCCTTTTTTTATTTTTATTTTTTATTCCCTCTTTTCTAGCTAGAGTAAATTGAGCCTGGCTTTCCTCTTGTTGAGTAATTCATAAAATGACATCGAAGTAACTAGTTGTATTGCATGTATCTTCAGCCTATTTTAAAATAGTTTTTCTTCATAATCAGGTGCAATTATGAGGAAATCTCTGAACTCAGAAATTTTTCTTTAGGTGAAGTAATTAATGAAAAAGACCGCTGTAAAAAATGTGAAGGGAAGAAGGTGATCAAAGAGGTAAAAATACTTGAAGTCCATGTAGACAAAGGCATGAAACATGGGCAGAGAATTACATTCAGTGGAGAAGCGGATCAGGCTCCAGGTGTGGAACCAGGTGATATTGTCCTCTTACTTCAAGAAAAGGAGAATGAGGTAATGCTTTTGAGTTTGTATTTTAAGTGCCTCTTATCCTAGTCCTTAATATTTAAGTGATCTAGATGGCTGTTCATTTTCAAGTAACTCATATAGTTGCAGCTCTGAGAGAGATGGTGAATAGATCTATAGCAAGTGATGTTGGCTTTCATAATTAGCCAGAAAAATCTTTGCAAGTGTGTAGCCAGAGGACATGCAGATTCTAGTGCTTCCTAATGGTAGTAAGACAGAGCTCTCTCGAGTAAGCTCAGGCTGACTGATACAGTGGATGTAGTGAAGAGTTATTCAGGATATTAACTTCAGTCTGCTTCACTTGTGACACTAACAAAATGCTAGGTGTGGCGCTTTTTTTCAGTGTCTTGTGACACAGCAGGGAACTCCTATTAAAATTCTCTGGCACTGCTTTCTATCTCTGCTACTGTGGTTGTGGAAATATAACACAGAGTGCTGATGTTACAGATACATTTAACAAAACAAAGTAATACGATTACACTAGTTTAAGGCATATGTTTACAGTATTCCAGAGTATATACGTTGTACTTTCCAATTAATACTGCAATTTACCTTTTTCTTTGTTAAAACTCCTGTAGGGTAGAGTTGAGGTGACTGCTGCTGCTTTTTTTTTTTTCCCTCAATGCTCTTGTCTAGAATGACCAGGTATTACTAAGATTAAATAATTTGTGTGTTTATACTCTGGAAAAAAATGTTGAATGGAATGGTGTGACACAGAGAACAGCATTGGCTACAAATGTAAATTCCAGTCACATTAAGGATATAATGTTGGTTATCTGGAAATTAGGTACTTTGACACAGCTTTGAAAACCTTACAAGGACTGCTAATTTGTCCCTCAGTTTTGGATAGCTCTTCGCTCACGCCTCCTTTCTTTAATACAGGTTGTGGCATCACAGTGACTATAGTAAGGGAGAAATTATCTGTAAGCATACAGAACAGTCAGATGTGGATGACTGCATAAATTCTAGATTGTGGATGCCACTTCTGTCTTAATTATCTAATGAACTACATCTAGTTTTACAGTATTAACAAATCTGAAAAATACTGTACCCTTTGCCGTAGTGACTGAAACTAGGCTGACTTTTAGTGAAGCTTTTGGTTTTCTTAAAATTTCCCTTGAGGTGGGAGTCATGGTTCTGCCAGTGGACAAAGCTTACCTTTATTCTGATTAAGAATCCTGAGTGATATGGCTTAAAGACCACTTGTGACAGCTGTGGACTAATTGATCAAAGCCCTGCTGTAGATAAAGTTAGCTGAAGCAGATTATGTGTAGTGAGTAGTTAAATGTTGAGCAACAAAGATGTTTTTTGTACTGTGGTGCAGGGGAAGTAGTGCCAAACTGTTGTAGGTTTTGTTTATAGGTTACTTATATAGAAGATCTTGAGGGTAAGAGAGCACTGCTGCTATACATGCCTTCTTATTTAATTTGAAGCTTGCATCATAGTAGATGGTGTGGTTTGCTTTATCTTAGATGACACTTTCATCGGGCACAAACTTTCTAAGCATGTTAAACTATGTGAATTAACAGAGTCAGGTTAACTCGGTACAAAGACTGTTGCTCTGACATTGAATTTTAAGGATAAATAATAGTGACTTATAATCATAGAAAGCGTTGGGTTGGAAGGGAACTTTAAGGGTCATCTGGTCCAATCCTTGTGCAGTAAGCAGGGACACCTTTAATTGGATTACTTCTAAATAATGAGTCTTGTGGAGGTATGATTATAGGTCTAGAAAAGATATCTTCTGTTTCCGTTTTTCAGGTGTTCCAGCGGGATGTGAATGACTTGCATATGACGCACAAGATTGGACTTGTTGAAGCACTGTGTGGATTTCAGTTCACATTTAAGCACCTTGATGGACGTCAAATTGTGGTTAAATATCCTCCTGGAAAAGTAATTGAACCAGGTAGGCTTGACCTGATAAGGACTTCTTTGATTATGTTTTTGTGATTCTTGAACATTTCATCCCATTCTTGTTATCCTGTTAACTGAACCTTGGCTAGAGAAATGAAGAGAATTGTATAGAGGAAGATTTGTTCTGAAGTAGCACTCCTCAGCTTACTCCTCTTTGAATTACAGGTTGTGTTCGTGTAGTCAGAGGTGAAGGAATGCCACAGTATCGCAATCCTTTTGAGAAGGGGGATCTTTACATTAAATTTGATGTTCAGTTTCCTGAAAATAACTGGATTAGCCCAGAAAAGCTTTCAGTAAGTAGTTTTTCAAGCATAGATTTGGCGGCCTTACTTGACAGTGTATGTGAAGTATGTGTGGTGTACCTCATGTGCTTGCTCTCAGTGCTTTTAGCACTTTTTATGGGCAACATGTAACTTGAAAATACCCGTTAGCATATGAATTTATGGAAGCGCTGTGCAGATGTTGGGCGGACAAAGGTAGGGGGAGAATCCTCCTGGTGCCATATGATAAGTTTTCAGAGTGCAGTTGTATTTACTGATTGCACTTCTGGTTGATGATATGGGGAGCTGTTGGTTTTCTTTAAGCAGCATCTTGCAGTTGATACAAATACTTGGGATACTTTTAACTGAGTGTGCCCTTCAGGACTTACATCAGCTTAGGCTTTTAAACCAAACCGGCTCTGAGACGGAGGCTTGAAGTTGTGAGAAGCTGGTCACTTCATTTAGCAGTTGTAGATGCAGTACTGAATATGATTCTTTTTCTTGGGGCAGGAACTTGAAGATCTTCTACCAGCTAGACCAGAGTTTCCCAATGTAATTGGTGATGCAGAAGAGGTAGATCTTCAGGAATTTGATACCACTCGTGGTTCAGGTGGTGGCCAGAGACGTGAAGCTTATAACGATAGTTCTGATGAAGAAAGCAGCCATCATGGACCTGGGGTACAGTGTGCCCATCAGTAAACGTTTGTCTAAAAAGTTGCACAAGGATTTTCTTTCAAATTTTGCCTGACTTGTTTTCAACAATCCAAGCTGGATTGTATAAGTAATCCAGATGAACCAATGGACATCTATTGCTGTATGTGTAACTTTTAAATTGGTCTATAGTATCTACAGAGTGTAATTTAAACTAACCACAAGCTTACATCTTCATTTTGACTGTGTAGCAGAATAAAGCACTTGAAAGGAAGACAAGACTCCTTTTCACATGGGTTTTAAGTTTGTCCTTGTATCTGTGCTTGATTTTTACCAGTTTTGTGTAGATTTTAAGTTTCATATTTTAAATTCAAATTCTCCATTGTAAAGTTTGTGTACAATTTGTCCTGAGGCTTGGTATTTGGCTGCACCTGCATAAGCTGCTACAAGTAGAATAAAGAATTTCATAGCCTGTATCTATCATCTAGATGCATGGTAAATGGGCTTTGCACATAATGGGTTTAGAGCTGACTGGGAACAATGGAAGACTAAATTAGAAGTGGTTGTAAGTTTTTTCTACCATCTTGTGAACGGTTTCTGAAATTAAATAAAAGCAGTTGGTGTATAATATATTTCTTTTGCCTTCTAACTCTTACTTTTCCAGTGGCTTAAGGATTCTGTGTACTATGTAGATGGCAGATACTTTATAAAGACAGGGAGACTGAAGCTGCTTTAGGACTGGGTTGCAGTTAGGTTAACAATTGCGTGCCAGAGATAAAAGTCTTTTCTTGAAATGAGATATGACTAAATGGGCACAGGGAAGGCTGCAGCCATATCCCTTTTGTTTGAAGAAAACACAAGGATATCTGAGTTCAATCAGAAGATAACAAAACCTTTTAAATGAAGATGATTACATCCAAAAATAAGGGTGTCTTTCTCTTAGCCTTTTTTAATCCAATTCAAAGCCTGATTCAGCCTGACTTCCTAGAGAAATGTTTCCAGTTGTAAAAAAATCTTTGTAAAAATGAACATTATGCCTTGCAACTTTGTGGTTGCATTAACACAGTTCATAAAAAGATTGAGATTAGTATTATACTTGACAAAAATTTTTGACCTGGAAACATACTAAGTGTAGATGGTTTTGTTACTTTTCCAGTAATTTGAACTTTATTTCAACTATTAAGACATAAAGTTCTGCAGCTTCAGTTCTGTTCCTTTTTATATGCCTTTAATTGATAAAAATACCACAACAAAGAAAAAAATGTGACCTTAAATTATCGGGTACAGTTAGGTTAAGCATTTTGTTGCAATGTTAAGGAACTGTGCATGAACTTTGGTTGGTAAGCTGCTGCTTTATAGTGGGATTTCTCTCCCTTTTGAAGCAAGGAATTTGATAGATGCTTCTACTTTTCTTTATAAATCTGAAGTGTGAGATGTTTAATTATTGCTCAGATAGTTGTTGACACTTTACCGATGAGGTTGGAGGGACAAACTCCAAGGGTTTCCATGTGCTTGGTACACATTGGCATTTGAGTGTTGAACATCCTTGTTATAGACTCTAAAACTGAAGCAAGAATAAATACTGTTTGACCTGTATTTCAGTATTGACTTCTTATGCTGTCGCATTCTCATCTAGTGAATATTTTCATTTATTAAAACTTCAGGTTGCTTTGCACAAAGCATTGTTTACATACTGATCTTTTCTCCTGATTCATTTCTCCAAGAAGACAGTCATCCGAGCCTGTAACACTTAAAAAATTGAAATGCCTGTCTTCTGCTTTTAAGTAGTAGCTTTAGGATTTACCTCCTTGACAAATAGAATGTGTACTCTAAACTTTCATCTCTGTACTTCCATATTGCTTTTGTGGGGAGAGGGAGGGAATATAAAGGAAAAGATTCATGAAAACTTTTTGGATAGCATGCTGAAGTGAAGGGGTGAAAGGGAAGCTGATCACTGTATGTAGTGCAAGTTAATCTAGTTCTGTTTCAGGCCTGAGATTGCATTAATTTAAGCTCCCAACAGCAGCACCTTCCAATGAGTGGTGATTTCTTCAGAGTTGCCCTTACATGTATCTCCTGCTCTAAGAGGGTGTTCCTTTACAAAGTTGTACCCTAGAGAAAAAAAAAATCACCTAAATGCAAAATCTACACTGTCTTGGTTCCAGTATTTAAGTTGCAAGTAGTATAAACAAATAAGTATTCTATATGCTGGGGAAGGAAGAAAATGTCATCACCAGAACCACATTAGAACCACTTTTCAGTTGGCATTATTTTTTTAATATTAAAAATACTGGCCTCAGGAAGCACAAAGGCAAAAAACCTCAGGAAGTCTTGCCTAGCTTATTTTGTAGCTTATCTATTTCTGCATTTACAGTGACTAAAATTGGCTTAAAGTTGACTCTCATTTAAAAAAAAAAATTCTGTTCTTTTGTGTGTAATTTACCAAGGTATTAACAGTGAATATTTATTCGTAAGATACAGTGGTGTAGTTCTTGTTCACATAAAACATGAGTCTGTGTTCTTTTGAAAAATGGCTTTGAAAAGCAGTTAGAAGTAATCAGTGGAAGGAATATTACTGCTCTTGGAAAAAACAAAACATATCAAAGACTTAACTGTTACTATGCAGTAACTTATCAAGCCCTCTAAAAAGGATGCAATAGGAACACTGCATTTTATTAATTAACCTGTAACCTTCCTGTATAGCCTTAGGCTGATGCAAGTATGAAGTTTACACATCACTCTAAAGGAGGTGTAGGGTGCTTAATTATATGCCTCTTACCAAATTTAAGAGGAACAGTGTAGATGTAAATGGTGTTTGGTGGCTTCCTACCTTGGCCACCATCACAGTGACTGTTTGGATTTCATACTTGCATCAATTTTGTGTCACCTGTTCTGTCCCCTCCTCCCTCAAGCTCTGACTTTTTACTTCCTTGTGCCCATTCTACTTCCTGGGACTGCAACATAGAACAGTTTCAGTTGGAAGAGACCTTCAAGATCAACAAGAATTAGCAGTGACCTTGGTCATTATAGGAGCAAGTATAAGCAAGAGCCTTTCTTGAAAAAAAAAATCTGAAAACATCAAATGTGATCACTCTTTTTGGAAGCAGACACTGTCTGCAAAAATACACTGACAATTTCAGAAGAGACTGAGCTGAGAAGTAAAAATCACTGAACAGAATTGGTTCTACTTAGGTAAAACAAGCAAGATCCAAACCAATGGTGTGTTGGCTTGTCTTTCAGAGCATACCTAACACTATACCTCTTCCAGCTATTCAAAAACCTGCATTGTAATTTTGGTTACCTCAGTGCAGTATGGGCATGAATAGTTATTCATGTTCAAATGGCCATTTGCCTGCAATATTCAAAAGCTGATACCACATTGAGGGGATGCTCTTATCAGTTTAAGGGAAAATGGGTGTTAATTCACCTTAAACTACAGAATTGTAGAACTATTCACAACTGTTCTGTAAACTTTCTGTATAATCTGAGTAAGATGTTTATTCCTATATTTTCTGGCTACCAGGTGAGAAATTGTTTATCTAGGTTTGACGGTGTTTAAACTTCATGGTTTTTGCCCATTTTGTCTCCCATGCCTTGGAAAGCTTTTTTCACCCCTGTATTTGAAACTTGGGACCTTTGTTTCCATAAGTGAAGCAAGGATGGAAGCAAAACAGAAGAAAAACTAATCTAAACTTTTTTAGAGTGTAGGAGTCTTCACACTATCCTTTACCAAACTGAAAACACTAATTAGTCACCACTGGCAGAATAAAAGCCAAGTGCAGCCTCAAGTTCTGAAAATACTAGAGCATCCGCAGCACAGTGGCTGCTGAACTGGCATCTTTACCTGTAAAGATTTTAAAAGCCTTTCCTACAAGTTACTGAAAAGTACATAAAAGTACTAGAAAAATGGGTTTGATACCAGAAATGACAGTAAATCTGAGTTACTACCTGTCATCTTGCACACTACTGTTATGTCACAGCACAGGACTGAAAGTGTGTCATTCACATATGCTACTACAGAACTAAAGGTACGTGCCTTAAATGCTATTCAAGAATTTAGAAACTTACACTTCAGCTTAATTCCAGAGTTAGATTCAGGGAGATTGATACTGAAAAGCCTAAACATGAGTAGCAAACCAATGCTACATTCTGCTTGTGGCGTGCATGGAAGAATGATATTGAAGAGTTTATGACTAGTTATGTGTATATATTAAAAAAAGTCTTAATTTAGAATACCAGAGTTAAAACTTACTTCCTACATACAACCTATTACTGTTTATTTTACTGTGAGCTGAGGTTAGATGTTAATTAAGCCTTTTATAAAGAAGCTGGAAAAGTAAAATGATTTTCTTCTGCTTTTGTATCCTTCACAGAGGTGACAGGAACTTAACACACAGGTAACAGGAATGTAATAACACACATCACAGTGTAAGCTTTATATAAAAACATTTACTGGACAGTATGCAGCTTTATTAAGACATTACAGACATTTTCTAGTCACTTTAGAGGCAGCAAGCAAGAGCTGTCATGAACGTTTTGTAGTTAAAAGACAGTTTCCATTAACTCGGTTTAGCTGTTGCCTTTCCACATAGTACAGTCAGCTCACTCTAAGGAGGAAAAAATTGATTTTAGTTCAAGCTGCCCAAAAGAACTTCGAAGAAAGAAAAATCACTAGTGCTAAAGCAAGCAGTGAGCAAGCACCCCCCCATTCTCCACCTACAAAGACAGGTCCATGTTATAAAATACAAAACAGCTTCCAGACCTTTACCTTAACTTCCAGCTACATTCAAGTCTAAATACCTGCAAGACTGTAAACCGATTAATATTTCTTACGTCTAGATACATTTTGAGTGCTGGTCATCCAAAAGCCCAGGTCCCCTTATTCTGCACCAGAAAGTTCTGCTCAAAACACTTCCCTGACCCAAGTAAGGTTACAAGGTAAGGCAGGTACTATTCAGTTAAAAGGGAGAATTAACAGGAGTATTAATTCTTACTCAAAGGGCATAGAGTAATAGATTATGACATCAATCAAAACTTAGCTCTAGCTTTGTAAGCCTTTGAGAATATGAGCTAGAGAATGGCAGTTTGCTCACAAGGTGGGAGAGACACCAGAGCAATCTATAAGGAAGAGTTTATGCTTCTGTCATACCCCCAGACAATTACCAAACTGCACATGCTTATTTAAGTGGATTTACTTTTATGCATTAAATATGTGCAGCGGTTTTCTGCGCCTTGTTTCTCCCCTGCCCTATTCCTCCCTCTGTTTTATGCCAACCAATTTAGGCTTAACCGCAGAAAAGTTAAAGCACTTTGCATTCATGACACCTTCTCACAGAAAAACCTGAGACTAGGTATCTGAATATTTATATGTAAGCCTACTAGTTTAAGCTTACCACTAAGTTATGAATATGCTGTACTGTATCTTGATTTAGCAGTTGCACATCAATATTACGGAGGTCTCCACCAGCTGTACAGAGCGTCTAAACGTTAAGAGAAAACAGTTTTAAGATAAAAACTATTCTGAAAGTTTTTACTTGCATGGCAAAGTTTACTGAAAATTGTGTGCTTCCCTGCTACACTGAAAAGCTTTTTACCAGTAACTATTTTTCCTTTCGTTTACCAGCAACTCATTTAGGGATAGCAAGAGCTATCACTATCAGACTGTTCACAGTTTATCAACTACTGTAAGATTAAACAAAAAAAAAAGTTTTATACCTGTCCATCAGCCAGGGGAATGTTTACAAATGGAACAGTTTTAGCTCGGGGTACTGATTCACTTCTTAGTAATGTGTCTTGAACTCTTCCACTGGTAGGTCCCATTCTTGAGACACTGTGTTGTAGTCCAGCACTGCATACAGTAAAAATGTTACTCTCGGGTTAACTTCCCTTGCTCTGCAGGAAATTTTCAAGCACGAAGTAAATGCAAGTAATAGCAAACATACCTAAGAGAAAGGCAGTTATGTTTAAATTTTTCCAGTTCTGCCAGAAGACTACAGGAAATCCAGCCATCAGCAGCTTTTAGCAGCACCAGTAGGGTAGCATTTTGACCCTGAAACACTGCAGTAACCTTCTAAGCCTGTGTTGCAGGCTAGTAAGCAAGCTGACATTTGGACCAGTCACTAACAAGAATATCCGCGCTCCAGTATCAACAGTGAATGCTTATAGTTTTGGAAAGAGGAAACGTCATGCCTCGGGGCCTAAGATAAGATGTGTGGTGTATCTGTCTGCTGCAGTAGGAGATACCAAGAAACATAAGAGCTGCTGGCTCTCTGAGCTACAGGGCAGATCGCAGGCCATATAAAATTCTTAAGCTTCTTTCATGATACAGTTATTCCGATTCCACTTCAAAAATATAAGATTTGGGTATCTTCTGCATGGAAACAAGCCTCTGAAATTTACAGCAGGCCTGTAAGATGAAACTAAGCCACCTGCTGGATTCCTGACCCCATTTAAGTTACTAAGTTTTTCACTCCCTCACTTCAGCTGATGACTTCTGCCAAAACGATGCTCTGCAGCGTACGGAAAATGTTAATAATTGAGAACCTTAACTGTTCTATATGCAAAAAAATGATCGTCAGTTTCTCTGGGGGTTTGGTTTATTCATTTTAGAACATGGCAGTATTGGTGATATTCTAGTCAAGCTTGGGCTCCAAGAATTAGTTTAAGCTGTAAACTATGGCTTTAAACAGTGGGTGGGAGTAGAATTTATACTCTGAATTCATTTGTTTGGTTTTGTGGGGTTTCTCTGGCTTTTTTTTTCTTTTGTTTTATTTTTTTAACTCGCTTAATTATGACTTCAAATTCTGTACCTCCACGAGAACATAAATTAACACCCACAAGCAAAACAAGAGGTGTGAATAATTCACATCCCCAGTACCAAATTTACTGGCAGACCATGATTATTAAATCTACATTGATGATGAACTTGATCAGGATTGATATTAATGTGCATATATAGTGTCTTAGTATTTAACCAAATTATTTATTAAGAACAAGCCACAAACCCCTTACCTTTTAGATACCTTTTGCATGTCTTTGAAGTTTGTGGCATTGCAGTCATAAGCAAGAGACTTAATGGCCTCAGTCACACTTGAAGAAGAGTGAGCAGACCTTAAAAAAAAAAAAAAAAGCATATGTTTATCTTACTTTTCTTATTTCCTCTTCATCTACTGTAGAGTTTTAGCTAAGATTAAAGATAGACAGCTGCTGAATTAGGGAATGTTGAAGTGGTCCATGACAGAGATCTCGTGTATATACAGGTGAAGAAGCCCTCCTGAGGCAGACATGCTACAATGGGAGGTAACGCCACAGGGGGAGTGAAAGGATAATTTACATTAGTAGGGAAGAGAGGCCTGCGATACCTGAGCTGGGTATTAATTAAGAGACCACCTGCAGCTTTCCATGTGAGTATGCAGAAAGTTTCTTGGGGAGTTTCTTTTTCATCAGGAATTAATTTTTCTACATTGCATATCAGGGTATTTGTCCTGTGTGGTTGACCTGAATCCAGAGGACTTTTTTTTCTAGTTTTGGATTTAACTCAGTTCACAGAAATCTTGATGTCAGAAGTTTACCTCAGTTTTTCTTCCTTTCCCACACACATTTTGAGATAATGTAAGGGCATGCGGTTTTGGTCCAGTGTTAGCATACTTGAATAAAAGCAACCTTCAAAGACTGAAAAGATAGACTTCCCCAGTCAAAGCAGCCCTCTCTAGTTTGATTTTGCTGAGCCCAAAATTCTATAATCCATATTCAATGAAGTAATGAAACCTGGCTAAGATTTTGTAAAATTTCTGTTAGGCACAGTGAACACTGATAATTTATTTAAATTGCATTTCTTTGAAGAGAATTTGAATGTATCAAAGTGCGTGCCAGTGGGTACAAGTATGCACACTGGAGTCACGGGTGTAGCCGGAGCTCCTCACAAAACACATCTCATCTAGATAACACCAATTTTTAAATTCATTAGATCTTACAGCAAGACTCAAATTTGGTCTGTCATGACTCTAAGTAGCTCTAAGGTGTTTTGTATTTTCCTGCTAATGACCTCTCCCTTTCAGCTATGTACCAAGGCAAAATTAATACAGAAGAATTCATTAGTCCTAACAGAGCAACAAAGACATTTCTCTTCAACACTGTCTTTCATTAAGTATTATTTAGAAATGTATACTGATTACGTAGATTCAAAACTGTGCACCACTCAGTGAGCGAGAGATACTACTGCATCCCTTCAGCAGCTAGAGGTGCTTTTTTGTTCAGGGGTCACAACCCTACAATGCATCTCATTTGGCTTATGAAAGACATCTTTATCAGATGGATTCCCATTGGCCTCGAATCTTAGCTACTTTATCTGAGAAGAGTTTTATTCAACAGACACAAGTTCAGGTGGGTTAAATAAGCTGTCAAAGGTCAGTCTTACCTAGTAAGAGCGTTCCGTTTGCTATTTAAACCAGAGGCCAATGAAACCAATGACTTTGTTTTCGAAACCTGAAAACGTATAGGTAAGACTGCAGTTAAGAAGTGGCATTTTTAAGGCAAAATTACAGATATTTTGAAGGAACAATACCATAAAAACTCTCTGTTGAAAAAGAACAGTTAAACCCCATAGTGCTTCCTTTTATATAGATCTACACGTTCATAAAATGGCAAATATGCACTCCGAAACAAGAGTTTCATAATGCCAAAATGTATTTGCTCATACTGAAGTTCAGTACAACCAACCACCTTTCTAATATACACCCTTCCAAGTTGTAATCCCTCTTATAATTAATGCCTGTCGCTCTGCATATAATCTCATCTTTGTTGTCATCTTGCTACATACTTCCGTGTCTGGCTGAGGCACTGCATTGCACAAACTGAGGTAGTAAAGTTAATACCCCTGTGCTATTGGTTTAGAGGTCAAGGTAGACAGGAATGCACAAGTCATTCAAATACAGAAAAGCATGTACTGAAGCATGACATTTTTAAGAAAAAAGCTGCAACAGAAAATGGTTCCTCAAACCATCAGGACTTACTGGCAAGTTAAGAATGACTACGCCAGTATCTGCAAGCCTGTGTGAATGAATTACCAGAAGTGCAAGATACCCTATTTTATTACAAAATTAATTTCCTTGCTTTAAAACAAAACAGCCTTAGTTAACTTAAAATATGTTGAATTTAAATCGAATGATTTTTCAAACAAGCAGGCCTGCTCAGTCATGGATCTAACAAGGTTCATAGCAGGTCAGAACTGATTAAACCCTTATGTTGTTTGTTCAGAATAAACTTACTTTTTTAGGCATCTTCTTCGCAGACGTATGCTTGGCATCTTCATATTCAACAATTGTAGTTACCTTAACTAGAAATATATTAAAAAGACAAGGAAAATAAAAATCTGTGTCAGTTCTGCTGTCTGACAGTCATTCACCTGGAACAGAGTTCAAAGCAAACTATCCATGATCCTCACAGATGCTGTGACACATGAGACAGTTAAAAGGCACTAGATAACCCTTTAACCCCGACACAAAACAGAATTAAATTTCAGTAGTAGTGTCCTTCTTATCGCATATTTTTGATTACAAAGAGAAACGGTATTTTCCTTGCAAACCTCAATGGGCAGGAGGTCAAAGGGGAACCTATGAGAAAATAGGGGTGACTTCCCTAGCTTTTTTGCTATACTGTAAAACATTGACTAATCGCTTCAATCTGTATCTTCTCACCATTTTCAGTGATAAAGCCAAAGGGATGGAACTCTTAGGTCAAGTTTTAAAGTACCTCAACAGTAGTATAGCTCATGATCCTCCACACTGTATGCTGGGGGGACCTGTATGTTGTACTTCCAGTTTTCCCTCTTGCATCCTTTGGATTTAGCATTCACTTTACAAATGCTCAGTTCAAGCCAACAAAAAAAAGTTAAAGAGCCAAGCTATATATTAATGGACTGACTTGCCTTTTCTGCTGTTGGTCCTCACTGGTTTTGGATTTGGTATGTCTTCTAGAGAGCAGTCAGTCTAAAAAAAATGTTTATCCAAAAGGGATAGTCAACTGATTTTGCCCAATAAATGTGTATTATCCTACAAAAGGCAATGAACTAAAAGGGCATAAAAGAAAGTTACAGAAGTGTGATTGGCTAAACACTACTTTATTTTTTCAGAAACGTCTGGATTTCTGCCTGCAGATGACCCTGAAGTTGTAGGTAGTTTTCATAACTATACCACGGCTGTCTGCCTAGCCTCTTTGTGTACTCTTCTATTTAAACAGCCAGCCAAACAAAATCATTTTTCCGAAATGTTTACAGAAGGGAGAGAAGACTTCTGTTCTGTAAGCTGTGATAAAATTTGAAAACACACACTCACCACTGCAGCAGCAAGAGCTACTTCCTCCCCTCCTTGCAAATCTGTAACTCAAGAAAGTATAACTTGTTTGTACACCATTACTTGCATAATATTATCTGCAGGTTCTCATCTTATGGGCTATGCAGCTCAACAAGTAATTCAGGATTACAGTTGCTTAAACCTGAGCTGGCATATATGTTTCATTTGAACAAGACTTGTAGGATAGTCACTCCTACTCTCAAGCCATTGCAGCATGTTTAATCCTTGAAAGGATACTAAGCACAGTTACACAGTATACAACCTGAAGTTGAAGAAGAAAATTACCCATACGTCGCGCTGAGGAAAGCTAATGCTTTTAGGAAGAAGTTTTCAAAAAAATACATTGAAATACATACTTGGCAAGGGCTTGCAGTAAACTCAAGTTCTTAAAGAGCCTTAGTTTTGATCCTTGTGCAACCCCTCCAACTTCCAGCTGCATGGAGATTCCAAAAACATCCGTTCTCACCAGAATATACACGTGTCACTGACTATACACCACAGCTTAAACTGCTTCATAAACAGGAGGTTAAAATTAAAACGTGTTTACTCATCATGACAGGTGAACAACTAGGTGAGAAAGGCTCTGCAGCAAAAGGCTTCAACAGAAAGATAAAATAACCTCTGTGGCCAGGATGAAGAGATTCGGATGGAAAGAAGCGCATAAGGTTCTGGGCACAGAAAATACTAGACTTGTAATTATTCCTTTTCTGTTCAGGTTTTAAACAAGATGACTTAAGAGCACACATAAAAGGCTCCAGACTCTATACAGCACTACCTACTAACGTTACACCCCACGTAACACAGGTCACTCTGCTTGCACAGGAGCGCAGGCGGCACATGGCAGCCAGAGCAAACGTCTCTGGGAGTCACCGAGTGAGCCGGTTGTTTTCCCGGGAGGCCAGGCCGGTCCGTGGCACTGCAGTGCCGCCTGCACCCCGCGCACACTTACTGAGCAGGTCCTTCCTTTTCATTTTCCGGAGGGCAACGGGCACCTTCAGCAACTCCACCATAAAGGCCTTCTCAGCGGTTTGCAAAAGCGAATCAAGTTCTTTCTTCATTTCCTGGATATTTTCCTTGGCTTTAAAAAAAAAACCCAGGCTCTTACGACCACACGTATTACATACTCCCAAGTACGAGCACGGGCGGACCGCCTTAGGAAAACTGAGTTAAACCCGTGTTTAATCCGGGGCAATCCGGCCCGAGAGCTGCCATCG